CATTTCATTTCACCTACCAATGTGCTGTACATTTGTAATTTAACCCTTATCCTACCGTCAGCCCATGTACTTTTACATTGACTTGACCAGATAATTACAATTATTATTTGACAAGATGTTTATGGACTCTGTCATGCAGTATTTTAAGGTTATTACAAATATGGTATATGAAGATTAAAACAAAGAACTAAAGTAGTGCAGTGATGTTGACTGGAAAGTACAGGAGGTCAAGGCAGCAGCAACATATATACATGTACATGTATGTATCTGCTACATACTATGATTTAAGTTTAAATTTCATGGGGTGACCTGGATCTGAACAAGCATCCAATAATCTTCTTTAGGTGTTCACTGTTTTATCCAAAATGTCAATCTTGTAAACACGAGCCAGTTTCTATTGTGTTCTTGAGTGACAGACAATAATAAAACGATACTATACATATTGTGTATCAGATACACAGACTATATTTAGCTCGTTATGTGACAAATTTTAATCATATATCAGAGTTGATTAAGCGTCTACCAAATAGACACTGTTTTGTTCACATTACAAATTGTCAGTGCTGCACTGAATAAGGACTAAGACTGAAAAACACACATGTAATTGTATGACATTCTGGGCACCATATTTTCTGCATTTCACCTATATATTCGTGATGGTGTACGTACTATTGCAACAAGACAACTTGCACTCTTGAAATCAGGTTCTACATAAAAAAAATTGACAAAATTTTTGTCACTTGTAAAGTGTAAAGTAGATTCCTAAATTAGCCAAATAATAGAATACTGAATTTGTTTCCATGGATTTTATTTTCGATTGTGTTAAGCTCCAAAATGGCTATTATATAATCCACATCCAAATCAGTGGCATCACTGCACAAGCTCACACAACTTGCAACTGCGATTTGAAAATTTTCGTACATGGCGTGGTTGATTTCAGTGTTGGTTGGTGGTCTTTTTTTGTTACGATTCATGCTGGTTCGAATTTTGCAAACAAAAGTTTATCTTTCCTATAGGATAGTCATTTTTTAACTTTTTGTTCATAGTATACGTACTCCACCAATCAGGGTAAAATTTAAGTTAACATGCTTCTCTACAATACAAGGTAGTGTGTGCAAAAGAAGATTAGAAAATACTATGGTTTAATAGTGAAAATGAATTGATAAAATATTTCAATGGAATACACAAGATAATGAGTTAATCCCAAAGCGCAGAAAAATCAATATGACCATAAGTGTATAAGCTTCATTTGTTGTTTACAACTGCTACTGATAGTTCCCAAAAAATACATGTTTATATTTGGGAGCGCAGCTACTGAATAAGGCAGTGTTGGGTAATGAGTTTGTACAAACCCCAAGTATAGAGAGTCCTGTTTCCACTATTTTTTCTGGTTTGTTTATTTTTGTTAAAAGACCCAGGTGAAACAAAACTCTGAATCTCCCCCCTGTAGTGAAATCTCACAATTTGATTTTTTAATGAAATTATCTCAACTCTATTTCAGAGGTACTGTATTCACTTTATTAGAAGCGCATATCTACCTAAATTTGTTGTAAACTGAATCATTAAAAGATTAATGGTACTTATTTTGACTACGGAAATACATCTATAATTTGCATAAGAGCATGTGCTACAAATACAGCAAACACAGTAATGCAGATACAAAATAATTAATTTTATTAACCAGACCTAACCATGTCGAAAATCTGGCATTTTATACATTACATTTAAAATCTGATGTACAATCCAAATCACAATCCTTTAGTGATTCACCCTGAAGGTGTTTGGGGGACATTTGACATTTAGAAGTTGTTTGGTCATTTATAAATTGTCTTATTCACTAACCAAAAGTAATCTAACATTTGTACAAGTCAACCTCAAAGTATATATTACAATAATATGCATGGCAGACATTTTGGATGTGACAGTATACATGTGTAGAGTGTGAGGAACATGTTTGTTCGAACATGTGACGTACCCTTAAGTATATAGAAATGATGCATAGTGTATTATTAGATTTTGGAAATGCGAATAATCTTTAAAATTGGAGTCAATTTTGTTTCAATGATAAATATGACACTGTATTATGTGATCTTTGTATTACCGGTACAATATATTTCTAAGATCCAGACACTTTATTAGTTTAGACATTATGACTTTGTCAAAAAACAAATCTACAAAATTACTGAATACTGAATTTGTTCTATTAGTAAACACAAGCGTTTGTGTAAAAAAAAGTGTTTTTATGGTCAAAGTCTTATATTAAGAATTCAATATGCAACAAATGTAACTATTAGTTTGAATATGCTTCAATTGGAAATTCACTGCTAATAAAGTAGATATGGTAATGTCCTATTATAAAAATTTTGTGTTTGTAACTTCAACAAACTCAGAGCCGAAGTCAATCCCAGGCACCATCCACAAAATAGTTCCATTAGTAGTCTGTTTTTTTCCCCAACTGTTAAAAACTAGAAGCAATGTCACATTTTGACTGTTGGTCCGAAATTAAGATTGAATTCAGCAAAAATTACAGAAAATGTGAACAAAATTACCCCACATTGAGAGAGAACAAAATTTGAAGCTCAAAGAATAAAATGGACATAATATGGTGAAATATAACAGGTGAAATATAACAGGTACCACAACCCAGGACAAATTAGGGATGTTAGTGACATTGGTCGAAAAACTACAACAAAATAGCATGTATCTATGTATAACTTGGACCTGAAAATCATATTTTAAATGCATTTCTAAGCATAAAATATTTTTTTAAAGTGAAAAAATGCATTTCAAACTCAGTCTATGGCAACTTTATTTTCGTGTATTATAAAACGAGGCTCCTCATTAGCTTCTTATTTGCATACAGAAATTCCCCTTGTGACGTCAGAAGTGTTGAGTTAGATGCCTTTCTGGCGTAGCTGGTCACCGCAAGTTTGGACACTGTTGCTGAACCCAGGCACTGGACAACATTCGAGTTGGTAAAAAGTTAGAAAGAACTACAACGGGGCTGTGGTCTGGACTACACAATTACTTACACGGTAGTCTGTCGAAGTATCAACTTCTATTTCCACGGGGCTCTCTATGCCTAAGTCGATCATCGCCAAGTTTGTCAAAATTGATTTTGACGCCTTAGAATTTTCTCGTTATTTAGCATTACTAGGCATGTCCCTAAACTGTTTTATTTCATCGATTGTCTAAGTAAAAAAAACATTCAAAATTAAAATAAAAAGAGAACATATTTCGACATTCTAAACATTTAACTATAGTGATCAATAACATATAGAAATAATTTTTAAAAAAAAATCACAGTCACTAAATAAACAACAGTCGCATGGAAATGAATTGACATTTTGTTGCAACGCTGGGTCACAACGAGGACCAGTGCATGAATGGGGGCGTTTGATTGGATAAAAAAAGATAAGTGAGAGCAACACATATACAAATTCAGAATGGATTACAGTTAGCGTGATTGTCATAATTATGACATCATATTAAAAATTTACTTAATCGAAACACATGGACAGCCCAAGCCCGGGTTCTTATTCCATAAATTATTCAGCAGATCAAGCTGCAAGTAGAGGTAACAGAGGTGTGATTTCCACATTCAACACCAATCAAAGAGCAATTTCAGAAACTTTTAGCCTGCGAAAATCGAAACACTTAGCAGTGTGTAAGTGATGCATAATTTCCTGTTTGTCCAACGCTTCGTTTTCGCATCACTAACAAAATTATTCCTACCTCTTACAGGTTTAAGTTCTCTTTAAAACCTGGTAGTTGTTCTTTCATGAACGAGGACAGTTTTTCGAAAAAAGAATCTGAGGTAAAGTGGACATCACGGTTTAAGGAGAAGATCCATTACAACTTTTTCTCATTGCTTTCATGGCTTTCATCCACTGATGTCGCACCTTCTGACCGATTGGAAAGCTGTGAATACTTACACTACGACTATACCCATCACTCCACATGTCCACAACAAAACGTTTTATCATCATAAATGCTTGTTGTGAAAACAACCTTAAAAATTTCTCAGTCTCCCCCCCCCCCAAAAAAAAATTGCCCAAAAATGTATATCGTTTATAAGTACATTGAATGACGCAGTGTTATAAATGTACGACTCAACAGTATGACTTCCTCTCATATTTTGGCATTTAATGGCGCACTTCGGCAAGAGTTGGAAATTCGGAAACAGTCGACACTTTCAGGATAGATAGGCGTGGCTACAGCACGAGAAATATTTCAAATTTACTTGGATACGAGTAATCATTTTCAACAACAAAATCGATAACTGTCCATTTCAGTGGGACAGAGATCTAAAATAGGAAACATGTGAGGGGGCACTTCACAGGCAACAATTGTCCTTGCCAGACAATTGAAATTGTTTTCATTAAAATCAATTGAAATTTGTTCTATACATCATGAAAATGCATGGATTTGTATCCAATGCAATTTGTAACTTTATGATTGACAACATCGAACACACTTTGTCACATAAAGGAAATCATTCAAAGAAAACACTACTTAGTCAAGTTCCTTCCCTTTTGTTATTTAACTGTGTCATAAATGAGTGACCTAGCAGCTGAGAATGTGGCCAAAGGGCGTGTCAATAAATATTCTATGCTTGCTCTGTCAGTCTGCAGACCACCAATGACCTGAGGTCAGTTGGACATTTCTGTATGTTTTGACATTTTATCTAAGAACCAGGAAATACCCATGGATTTTGTTAATGATCAATACCAAGAGAAATATGGTATTTCCTGGTGAAAGAGAATATGGCCTGTGCATAGTTACAATGTCATACGTGAATATCCGTGAAATTGTTCACCGGATGTCGAAACCCATAACATATCGAATAGTAGGCAATGCAACGCAATGGATATCCCGCCACAACACATTACTTTAGTATTATTTACACACGCCCTTATTTTTTTGACATTTTCAGAGCGACGTACGTGTTTTTTTAATATTTAAATCATTTTATGACAACAGAAGAAACACCGACTTACCAGGGTCATTAGCTTGTTGTTCAAGTAATTTAAGTTCTTGCGAATCGGAGACTGTTTGTTCCAGGACAAATGACAGAAACCGTGCCTGTGTAGCTGAAAGGCGACTGAGTAATGAATAAAGGGCGACGGTTTGCTCACAGTCCGACCATTCCTTGAACCAACCAGACAGCATTCGTACCTGATCGCGGAAAGCGTTCGACGGTTTCATGTTTTTCAAAATGTTGTAACAAATCTACTAAAATTCCATAGATGTATTCACAGAAATACAAATGTACAGAAGCCTAACACCGCGGAGTGAGTACGTGTGTATTTTGCACGTATTTTGGACAGTGTTGTGTTTATCGGGTGTATTTACATGCAGAACGAAAATTTCAAAACAAAGACACGTTTTGGCGAGCGTTTTGACCTGCAAATGACACGATAACAAACTTTTCAGCTTATGAAATATTAACAGGCGCCATAATGAGAAAAACGGCTTTGAATATAGCGGATACGTTTTTTGAAAACAATTAGACAAGAGTCGATAATTACGACCGAGCTACAGTGTCATCAAAACAGACAACCTGAATGCGAAAATAGACCATTGTTGTATTCGGTGAGCAGTAGAGGTTAGTCGACAACACAGAGCTTCCTCGTTTCTTGTTTACGAACAGATTTCGGGATGAATTAAAGAAACAGCGGCGAAACGATACGTATTTCCAGTCAACAAAAATACAGCTATTACTGATAGAAGAAATCCATCGCCCTCGGGCCAACAGAATATCGCGTTGGTGCGATGCAACTGAGTGAATCACGTTCGGTCCTCCGACGCGGGGGTTGCCGATAGACACAAACCAAAGCTTTCAGGAAACGAAGGAGATAAGGACGAAATTGTCACTCGTTATTCACAAACTTCACATTCTTAGCATATTCACTGTGTTCCTTGATATATAGTCCTCTTGTCTTGATTAAATTGGTGGACACTGTCAACAGAAAGAATGAAAATATCCGTGTTTTCGACGAGTGTGGTTCTGTTTGGCGCACAGCGCTCTCCCATAGGACCACGTTTATGATAATGTGGCGATTAGTATTCTGTGATACGTCACACAAGCAGGGTCAGCAAAGCTGGGAAAATACAGTCTCTTCGCCATGTCTCATGGTAGACGTTTAGGTTTTAGGTTTCAACGACCATTTTCTCCTCAACACTTTCAAAATATCATTTATTGTCCACAATTGTGCCTTTATTATATGTGAAAAAAATGTGAAGGTTGCAAATAAGTCAATGTAAACAAACTTTGTCTTCTGTTGACTGTCACGGAGTCATGATGCCATGTTGTATTTTAGTTCATGACTCGATGACGTTATTAAATGACTAAATATGCAGATCTTGTCACAGTTAAAACAATCTATCTAAAGTTTTAGTACGTTATTATTATTTGTACAGCTGAAAATAAGTAAAACTATTAACAACATCGGTAAAATTAATTGATCAGCACAATCTACCGGACTGTGAATCTACATATAGTATTCAACGTGTTGTTTATTTTATTTATGAACGTATGCCCCGGGCGTATGATTTTTTATTGACTGCAAATAGAAGTACTAGTGAGAATATATTTATATATCCTAATCTTGAAAAAAAAAAACATGTGTGCGATTAACCATGGAGGTAATAAAAAAGGAGACACAGTACTACGCTGTCTAAATTCTGGCACCGTGATGAAAAAAAGCCCCGTGAAAATTAAATGAGTTGGTGTAATGGTTGAGTCCGGAAACCACCTATATATAACATAGGTAAAATGTTTTCGGTTTTATTGTCTTATTACGTCAGTCGGTGGGTGTCTTTGCCCGTCGTCTTGCTAACCTAGACCCAGTCATGTAGTTATATTTATTAAACTCAAAAGTTGGAAATGGCTATTGAAACCCTGAAATCAAACCAGTAGTAGTAAAGTACGTGATATTAAGTTGTTCAGTTTTGTACGTTGTTACTATTCCTTCATTTATAACATATATTTTGAGTCAGGCACTTCCTTAACTGAGCCTTTCGATATGGATATTAATGGTATCCCCTTTTTTACTTCCGAATGTCTTACCATCGGAAATGCAGCACATTTTTTTATCGCATTTTTTTTATTTATCTCTGTCACTAGAGGGCGTTTGTGTTCGCCATGATAAAGCAGAGTACTACATCGATATACAGTGCAAATTTTAAGACAGTGCTATGATCTCAGATGTGGTGATAAATTGTAATTAACTAGCATCTTGGCTAACATTTCGTGTGCGCAAAATGAAATGCGTACAGAGCTTCTAGTATTTATAATTACAACTGTCTTGGCTGCAGTGATAGTTATGAGAAATATATGAATCTAAGTTTTCTTAGTGCAAACAGAAAAGTAAACAAACTGTAAATACCGTAGTATTGTCATCTCAACAGCGAGAACAATGCACAACTGAAAATGGACAATGGATCTCACTGTTCACTCATGATGTTGATTCAACTTCCTGTAAAATGTGTTATCAATACGAAGTTCTAGTTTGGTATTAGTTTTATTCTTGACTGTAGAAAATAACATATACATGTAGTTTTATTATCATTGACACTGAGCTTATTGGCATTACACCATGTATGAACTTGTTATGAAAGGTTAGTTTCTGTTCCTGTGTACTTTTTTTGCAAAAGACTGAAAAGATTAGAATCATCAGAAAATTGCTTAAAGTTGAAAAAGGTAGAAGAGCTTAGAAGATAACCATTTATAAATTTTCAGGAAAAGAAGAGGACGCAAGATAGAGCATTGGGGACATCAAATGTAATGGGCAGGGTGGTTTGATGGCGGTCACTTAAATAAAACATGCATTTTCGGTAGAGTTGATGTAAACACAACAAGACAAATTGTATTTCTGAACCAAATTTGAGACTGTGATGGATGTTTCTAAATTTAGGTCAGAGCAAATAATTTGTATTTTTTTTTTATTTTCAATATCGTGCATATCCTTAATTTGAAGATAATTAATTGTTGTGTCGAATTATGACTGACTGACTTAAAGTTCACCAGTAAATTAAGTACCGGTACAGCGTCTCGTACACAGTAGATTATGACAAAGAAATGAAATATAAATGTAGTCTAACCAAAATTTGCAATTGACGATTTTATATATTTTTTTCATTTGTTTGGCTTTCTGTTTGTTTGTCTGTTTGTCTGTTTGTCTGTGTGCCTTCCTTGTGCGCATCTATATAAGGTTTTCCTGGGATTTGTTGTATAACCAAGATTCATAGAATGTCTAAGATCTGCTGAGGATGGTTATTTATTTATTTATTTATTTATTTATTTATTTATTTATTTATTTATTTATTTATTTATTTATTTATTTATTTATTTATTTATTTATTTATTTATTTATTTATTTATTCATTCATTCATTCATTCATTCATTTATTTATTTATTTATTTATTATTAACACGATACAGAAACACCACACGAATGTCATATGACAATGATTATCACAGTTGCCGCCGTGATTGAATTTATAACCATAATTTTCTCGAAAATTGACATGACGCGGAGCACATCGTGACAAAACTACCACGCCTTCTCTGACCACCCATAAATCATTTGCATTCCGAACAAATACCCTAGTTTCCGGCTTTATCGTAACATAATACCATGGATTACCGTACTATGGTAATACTAACACAAATAATCCCGGAAAACAAGTGTCTAACTTTGTATAAAGGTTATTTTCAATGATTAGAACAATAATATATATGATTAATACATAAGATATAAATGTCTCTTATTTCACAGAAACAATGGACTACGTATTTAAAAAAAAAAAAGGAAATTAAATGAGTAATGAGAAACACTGCCCTCTAGTGTTCCCATTATCTGTGCTGCATTAGACTATTAAAGTTTACCATGTAAGGTGACTGATGAGTTAGCAAACAATTATGGTACACATCCCACGTTAGTTTAGAATGTGTCAGTACTAAAGAGAGAGGTTATGTGTAAGTTGTCACCGATGTGAAATAAACATGATTTTTAAAAAAAGACACAAACTCTAGTTGACCGTAGTTTAACAATCTCATTCATTGTGAAGTCATGCTGAACGGACATCGAGTTATGAAAACATTGAATTACAATTGTTATTATTTTATTTTATTTTTTTATCCTCACTTTATTGTAATTTAACTCAAGTTCCTATAAAATATACGATATCAATTAAGTTTATTATTATTATTATTATTATTATTATTACAAAAAATAACTCTGTCCTTATTTTAGAAACCATGCCCAATTTGTAACTCAATGTTAAGTCAACAGAACTTCGAGTTACGAGAATCATACTGTTTTGTTTTTGTTGAACGCCCACATTTAGTAACTCAAATGGCAACATAGATTTTTTGTATTGTTCTAGTTCAAATTTAGTATCTCAAACTTTAATTAACAGTTAAACAAACAAACAAACAAGCAAACATACAATGTTAAACAAAACAGACAAATCTATGTCGCTCGTAACTCATAGTTTGTTTAACTGTTAATTAAATTTTGGGTTACTAAATGTGCTAACAAAAACAGAGATGTATGTTGCCTGTAACTCAAAGATCTGTTACATTGTAACTGTCATCGGGCAGTATAAAACCATACAAGGACAAATATCATAAAATCAGTCTTTTAAAAGCCAGTAAAGATGAACACAGACAGGGACTGGAACAGCAAATAAAAAACTGACTAGACAGCACAGGAGAGAGTAGATGACAACCTGTGACAGCTTTCATTAATATCCATGTGAACACATAGATAGAGCCAACAGTTCAGACCTTATCATTGTGTACTTTGACGGACCTAATACAAGAGAAATCATGAGGTTTCTTTTTAACTAAATGGCAGTTAGTTTAATATTCAAATGCAAATCTTTGAGCTAAATTGGCAATATGCCTGAAAATTATGTAGGCAGAACCCAAATTACTATGGCCATTAAAAGTTGGCACAAGACTACTCGGCCCTTGCAAAAAAGTTCTCTGGTCAAATTGTTTTTTTTCCCTTCTCTTTTTTTGCTAACATATTTAAAGAGGCACAGATTTTGCATGTTTCATCAATTGAGGGCGCTGTACAATTGCTGAACGGTAACATAACTTTTTCAATATCCAAATTCTAAATTTTATATTCAGACAGACAAATTATTACTAGTTTAGTCAACATGATCCTTGGAATAGAACTGCTACCAACCAGTCCACTTACTTACAGTACACATTTTCCATAGGCTCTTTTGTATTGCTCATGGGGAAGCTGCTGTGCTTCAGTGCAAAAAAATGGAGCAAAACTAAATATTCTACCGGTATTACCCAGGAACCACTGAGGTAGACTGGCTGGCAGCAAGTCACGCTTGATCACATGGCAAAATCCCAGCCAATGAGAGCACAGCATGATCACAAGACAATGTACCTGTTGATAAGACATAGCTTGGTAACATGACAAGATCACAGTCATGATGATAGTGCACCACATGATCGCGTAACAAAATCCCAGCCAATAACCACACAGCTAAATCACATGACAAGATCCCAGCCAATAAGACAACAGCATGATCACATGGCAAGATCTCAGCCAATAAGACAACAGCATGATCACATCAAAAAATCCTACCCAGTGACAGCACGTATACAGCTTGATCACATGACAAGATTCCAGCCAATGAGCACACACATGCAACTTGATCACTTATATTATGATAGGAAACACCCATCATTTTCAGGTTAACATCACCAGCTGATGTAGTTTTTTCCTCTTTATTTCCGCTATTTGTGGGGGCTTTGAGCAGGTGTTAAAATGGCCACTAGTTGGCCATTTTGGATCAGTTCACCACACGCATGTATTCTATTCAAACCATTGCAAAACAAGTCAAGGCAGAATGATTGAAGTTAAATAATTTATTTAGTTGTTTTGGTCATTTGTTTTCTGCTCACAACACATTAATTACTACAATTCCATGATTTGTCATTAAAATATACTGATATACAATTACTGATACTTGGTTCTTATTTGGTGCGACACAGTCATACCCTTATTGTATACATTCACTTTTATGGTGCTTCAAGATATTCAACCACTGAGAGATAATAATCCCTATTTCACAATATATTACATCATTTTGTTCAATACAGATACACAGCTTATTATCTCACTGTCGGTAATATGACAGTGCTTGACATGATTAATATTTGGCAATATGAGAAACTATTGTTTTGGTCAAGTACTGTGAAATACTTTATTTTAGCTGGAATTAATTTTCGCTGAAAAGACTTTTTGGGTGTTTTGTGTGGAAATTATTTTCACTGATTTTTGACGAGTTCAATGTAAAATATAGGAAAAAAGGTATATTTGCTGGATTTTATTTTCACTGAATCATTCCTTCAGCGAAAATAACGAAAATTTCAATTGAAAATAAAGTATTTTACAGTACGTTAAAATGCTCTCATTGTCAGTTATAGAAATTGCAAATTAATGATAATAACATTTTGGGTTAAAATACAAAATGATATGTCAATGTGAGTAGAGATTGTTCAAACACTCAATCACACACCCATTCAGACACACAAGTTGCAGGTATTTTGCGAGGTTAGACACCCACAGGGAATCAACTCTACACATACTGCTGTGTTATGAGTCTCAAACCAAAGTAAACCCACATATGAAAAAAAAATTGTTAGTCAGAAAATATTCATAGAAAATCTCAAAAAGTAAATTTGATGATAGTGAATAGTATTAGAGAAAAACCCAGTTCATCAGAACTCAAGGCTGCCACCCCGCACTGTCATTGTTTTTTATTACCTTCTTTATAATAAAATATGTTTGTTGAATATATATATATATATGTATTATTAGATTAGCATATTCTGTCTGTAACAATCTGTAGAAGAATCTAAAAAATACAGAAACGTGTTTACAGAAATGGAAATTATGTTTTGTTTGGTGGTTAGACACTACAACTTTCAGTGTAAGGTAGCTGTACTTCAATATTTCAGGAATTGCTCTATAACCTCTTCAGTGCGAGTGTTCTGTATAAAATACAAAGATGGAATGTTACTTTAAATAAAACTGCCCCACCCAGGTTTGTCAGAAAACAGAAAAAACAATTCTCACATTTATAAATTTAGTTTCTAGGACCAAAATGGTCTTGCCAGTTGAATCAGAAAACAAATTGACTTCCATATATATATTGGAATTTGTTGGTTATAGTATACATATATATTCATAAAAATGTAAACACCATCTAAAACTAATTTACAGGAATTATAACGGTTAATCCAGATATAAGCTGCTCCAGGGAAAATGAATCAATTGAACATTTATAATCAGCTCAGTTGAATAAATTGATGTGGAAATCAACTACTTAATATACAAGAACAAATTGATTTGCAAATCAACTACTTAATATACATGAATAAATTGATATGCAAATCAGCTTCTTAATATACATGCATATTTGAAAAACAATCAGATATGTATAACAAGTTGCATTTCATCAAACAATGAAGTCAATATAATTACAATCTTTTGTAAACCTGTAAAACCAAAATAAAATCTGTTAATTATAATCCAATAATACACATTTTAAAAATAAAGACAAGAACGTCTACAAAAAGAATTACATATTTCAGTTAACCATATAAAATGTCTTTTGTTAGCCATGATCACAAGAACACTTTGGTGAAATTTAAAATAGTGACTTATTTTGAAAAATTTCATCACAGTGGCGCATACTAATAAAATAACAGATGGTATAAAACAAGTCGAGGTCATGATTACGAGATCTTACCAAAAATAGAATTGACGTAACCATAAAACACTATACAGCGAGAAACGAATTAAATTCAGATGTGAGAAGACAATAAAGATATATCCCACATAAACTGTGTTTGACACTTTGTTGCAGTTTTTTTCAGTGATTTGTTTTAACTACCTGTTTACTACCAGAACAAGGGCTAGGCCATTGCCAAATTATGACAACGCCAATACGATTATAAATACGTCATTCGCTATTTTAATTTTTTTAATGAAATAATATCATGCATATTCAAGAGGTGATAATAAAGTAACTGAAAAATCAATGCTCCTTCACTATCACTCATTTCACATTTGTCGGTGTCGGTCAGTAATACGAGCAATTTCACGTAAATGACAGGTGTGTTTATAGTCAAAGTAATTCATATTTTCATGTCTCAGCATACAAGAAATCTATGTACACTTCTATTAGAGTTGCGCTTTCAATAAACAAATACAGTAATTTTATTGCTAAAAGTCCTAGACAAAAAAGTATTGTAAACCAATTACAGTACCAGTAACTTTCACGCAAGGAATTTCATGATTTTCAAAAATTTGTAAAAATACGTATTCTAACTTACATAATAATTCTTAGCTATAATAAAAAAAATAAAATTAAAGATAAATGTACTGTATTTGCTCCAAAGCGCATGTAAACCAGCGGGTTCCTTATATTGTATGCATAATCATTAAAAATATGAATAGTTTTAACCATAGACACATGTTTGTCATTATGTAAATGCATACATTACTGCTAAAGCATATCTATATGGTGTTTATAAAAAAAACTTGATAATTGCAGCAGCACAAGTCACTTATTTTTATCAAGCGAAATTGTTGAGGAATGAAACATGAAGTAGTGCTACAAAAAACACAAAATTTGAAAGGAGGGTTGTTATTTCTATTGTACCACTAACTGAGATGTAGTAAATTAATACCTTGAGGGAAATTAGCATAAATTAGCATAAATCATGTGCCTGATGAGAAAAAATCATACCATCAGTTATTCAGTTAAACACAAATGACATACAACTACTGTAATTGTTCTATTAGAAACCCATCTCTTCCATTAAAAACTAACATATGAGAACGTTGGGCTATTTTGAGATGCGATTTAAATAGAGCAAATACGGCATCTATATATCTGTGTCAAGGCAGTAGTTTTAGCTCAAGGTATACATGTTCACAGTAGTGGATCTCACTGCTTGTATTGCTTGTACTCATTTGTTAATTAAAATTAATTCTTAGACATTGGAAGTTGGTTGTCATTATCTTCTGAGCAAAGTTAGGAATTCTTCTCTGGTCTTGGAGTCCTCACGAAAAACTCCCAGCATGCAACTGGTGACAGTTTGGCTATTCAATTTCTGTACTCCTCTCATCACCATGCACATATGCCTAGAAATATTAAAGAAAAATAAAAAAAATTAAGCAAACAAGAAAAAAAACACTTCAAATGTCAGTTACTACTAGGATTTTCATCATAATAAAATGATTGGCAGGGATAAAAAGGCGACAAAACCAGATGCATATACAGAATTCTATTAACAAAACAGATAAAGATAAAATGCCAATACCGGTACATGTGGATGACTAGAGGATTAAATGTGAACATTGGAATGAAAAAATGACTTCACGATTTTTCTCCGAGCCTGAAACCCTAGTCTGCATGTTATTCTGAATCAAAAATTGAACAACAACATAAAACTGAGTTTTACAACTCAAAATCTAGTTTTTTTTCATCTTCAGTTTTTTTAAAAATCTATGGCGATGTAGTCAGAAGGTATAATTATTTGTCAAAATTTCAATAAAGTTATAAGACGTCATGAGGAAGCTAATTACACCTTTGAGTGAATATAACATCATTCTGTTTTACAATTACAGATCACAGTTAAAACATTCAAGCTGTTACCATGGTGAATTTTGCATTTCCTCTTTTCAAAATGCACATAGTAACAAGCACATGAAACGACCAAGACATTCTGACTTTATTTGAATTGCAGCTATGCATCACTGCCATCAAAAAGGACAAGTCTTAACTCGTGTTTTTTCTCTCCAAAGTACCATAGTTACATTGACTTTGTAACATAAGATGCATACTACATGTATAAGAAAAACTCCTGAATGCTAAATGTAGAAGTAAGACTTACAGTTATAGTCTGAATTCAGAGTGTTATGTTTGTAAACACTTGATACACGAGTAAAGGTTAAGTGACGCCATTGACATGCTTTTAAGTAAATAAACATCAACAACATTTCCATTACGAAATGAAAGTGATATGCCATCGCCATGGCAATACTGAGAATAGCAATAAATAAACAGATGTGATATGCATTGTTGAGTGGTGGACAATGTAAGTTTAGATGAGATTGCTGAAATAATGGACACATTGTCACCCCCAATTCTTCAAAGCTGATGTATAAAACAGTGATACTATTATTGGATATTTATATGAAAATAAACCTAACACTATATACCGTATATTCTCTTGAATGGACGTCACTTTAGTGAAAAACTTTAATTTGGTTTTAAAATAGTTGTCACGAAATGTTGAAAAATTACAGTCAATCCACACAAAAAACTGCTCAAATGATAACATAAAAATACTCATTTACATTTATTTCGAAAATTAAACTGAGCATTGAAGAAGGATTCAACACTTTTGTTGTTCATTGTCGAAAAGAAGTTTACCCATTCACGCGAGTCACAATAAACATCAGACTCTTGGATAGGCGTCAATGACTACAGTAAATCTAAATTTATAGACTCTAATCTAGGCGTCGGGAAAGGTTGAAATGTTTGAAAAATGATGCTTATTCAAGAGATTATATGATACACACCAACACAGGATAAACTGTTTATCTATCTATTGATACACAGTGTATAAAAAAAAAAAAAAAAATCGCTTGGACAGTGATGGCCGAGATATAGAATGTGTCATGTTGTATGTGAAATATACAAAAATATTGTCTGTTTGCATGAAATTTGAATGTATGTTTGTATGCTATGTCAACAACAACACACAACAAATTGTTAAACATATCAATAACGACAGTTGAGAAAACAATGCAAATTCTTTAAAATGTTACTACCAGAACAACTGTTCATAGAGACTGCATTTCATAAAATTCATTCCTTGTTTAAACAACACAACTGTTAGGATTTGCCCAGATATGCCGAAATATGTCTTGTGAATGAAAGTCGTTTAGAATGTAGATTTTTCCCAGTGTAATGTTGTGTGAAAAATTCATTAAGATATATTTTTAAATTGACAGTTTCATCCTCAAATGCAACGTTGAATTAAATAAATTAGTTATTCTAAATACTGCTATATTTAAGAAAAAAACAATATATACCTGGAGAGGGCGCTAAACTGTAAGCTGTAATCTACTGATGTTACAATGGTTTTGATCAACTAAACAGCAAGCCATACATATAGTGTTGTTACCAAGTTACATGGGCTATGTAAATTACAGCAGTTTCCATGTTTGAAAATAAGTAATATTTTAATGATTCAATATTTATGTGTATGTTTCTGTGCAAAAACAGTAGACACTTTGAAAAATGGTAAAATCATTTATTTTCACTATTTTGAGCAATTTCACTGGGTTTCAAGTTCATGAACTTGGCAAAAAAACCCCAATTAGTTCTATTGATATTCCGCAAGTTCACATGGATTCATAGCAAAAATAATGAAATTAAAAAACAGTAAATAATTAGTGCATTTACAGTAATTCATTTATCCTACTAATTACAAATATTAATGCACCTAACGAATGATATATGCTTTAAACAAACAAAATAAATACTTACGAAGCTTCAATGACAACTCCCACACCAGTTGGTTTTACTGCTTCTGTCAAGGCCAAAGCTATCTGTTTTGTTAACCTCTCTTGAACTATAACAAAGACAAAAAAAACTTGCTTTATAATTAAACAACTATGACCAAGAATGGTCAACTCCAGAAAATATTATCTTTTTTTAATCATTAATATTTATTGAAATAAGTGATTAGAAAATAAAACATGTCAGCGTGGTATCACACTGCATATTATACATACAGGTTAGTATAAATATGTATTAATTGTAAAATATGGTCACCATGGCAACTAATGTTTAATTTCAATGTTGAAATTATGAACAAATCGGTCATTCCTACTCGCTTTGCACCATCAACAAGCTAGCAGTATTTTTTCATATAAAGACAAAAGTATTTATAAATTGGCCACTAGAGGGCGCATACATAAGAAATTACAAAATTACCTTGCAGTCTTCGACTGAACATTTCCACAATTCTGTAAAAAAGCAAGTGATAATTGATAAGGATTGTGAGTTGGCAGCATCCTAAAAACTACACAAACTGTTTGTTTACTAGCTGTTTTCATTGAACTTTAAATCACATTCTAATAGTAATCTTTCGATATATTCTACATGAATAACAGTGACTACTTTTTTTTATTTATTTTTTTTTACATATGTATAAAAAGTAAAAATAAATCTGACATTGAAATCTGATATTCAGTAAATTGGGAAAACATACATTTGATATTAGAGCGCACAAGTTTTGAAGCTTTGGATTTATTTTACGAACAAACGTTAATGCTCTTAGCTTAAACCGAACGTTGGTTGAATATAGTGAATTTATTTTTAAGAGGGTATGCAAGTCATGCCATGTGCTTAAATTAAAAGGTTTTTATGATTCAGTACACAACAAATGTGATATTTGGATTTATACTCTATTAGAGATATACCGTATTTATTCTGGTAAGAACCCAGGGTCCTGAACATAGAAAATTGCAAAACAATAGGGGCAGGCATATGCCCGAACTATCTCCTAAGAAAAAAATTAAAATTTGCAGAAATTGACAACACGAATATCAAACTGCAGCAGGGGATAGAATGGCAAATGTCAACATGCAACGGAAATAAATTAACAATATGCAACATTAGAAATATATATAAAAAAAAAATTATTGCTTATAATGTGACAAATAAACCAGGAATAACAAGTCATTGAAAATGACACAGTCCCCGTTAAATTTTTGAAAGTTCTCTTTGTGCTCATCATATAAAAGCGGAGGGGTTGTCACGAGCGTGTCCTTGAAACTTGAGTTCCAAGTGACCTATACAACAGATTGTTTATTTACATCAAAACACGTGTTCCGTGTAGTAGTAATATGGCCAAAAATAAAAACAGCCGTTATTCGGCCATCTTTGATCTGATTATGAAACACACTGATATGTATGATGTATGTGCCAAATACGAATAAAAATGGTACATAAATTGTGGAAATATAGTAGTAAGGCCAAAAAGTCAGATGGCCGTCAATCGGCCATCCTTGACCAGATTTTCAAACAAATTGTCATTGTATAATTTACATGTATGTGCCAAATTTGAATGAAAACTGACAGAGCACGTCCAAGATACCCCATAAAAAAACAAAACAAGATGCCTGCCAGTCGACCATCTTTGATCCAATTGCGAAATAAATTGTCATGGACATGTATCCTAACATGTATAATCTATGTACCAAGTTTGAATGACAACTGACAAAGCATGTCCAAAATACAACATTTTCAAAAAACAAGATGGCTGCCAGTCGGCCATTTTGAATGTTCATATGTCCCACATAAGGTACTAGGCACATGCAAAGAATGAACAGAATCGGTCCACAGGATTCTGAAATATGACTCTGGACAGACTGACGCACGGACGGACACACGGACATACGGATGGATAGACTCAGGAACTCACTTACATTTTCGACATTTTCAAAAAACAAGTGGGTTGCCAGTCGGCCATCTTTGATCCAATTGTGAAATAAATCGTCATGGACATGTATCCTAACATGTATAATCTATGTACCAAGTTTGAATGAAAACGGACAAAGCATGTTCAAAACAAGTCATTGTCAATGACACGTCCCCGTTCCATTCATATTTGAGTGACATATACATTCAAAGCAGATCATGACCGAAATGCACTTGCATATGTACAAC